TGATACAAGGGAGGTAACTCGTTCTGACATAACTTACGCACTATGACGCATAAATTGCGCTGGGCAGTAGCAGTTTCCCCCTGTTCCGCGGTGACTCACGCCGCTTAGCTGCACGAGCTATTGACCAACAGGACTACGGCAGAGTGAATCACCACTAGCCAACTACAGTGAAAAGTCACCAGAATAGCCCACTGGCCATACCAGGGGAGTAGATTTCGACAGGGGCGGGAAACTTCGCTCAACGTTATACAGCGTTCTGTATATATCTACATACAAAGCTGTTGTGATGAGACGGAATTTCTGACAATTTCTCCTGGTATTCAACTGGGACCACTTATAGTTAAACATCTAATCAATTGATCGGCATTCGGCATTAATCGGTCGCTGGATTCAAAACACGAAGCCTTATTCTGTATATGTCGGACATTGAGTATTCAAGTACACATGCACTTGACGTTGAAGAGGATCATTGCAGGGGATATGATAATATCTAATGCTCAACAAAGTTTATTGAATACATGAAGGAATCAATAATAAATACGGTCGAAATGTCTTGATGAAAATAAGATGTTCATATTTGTAAAATTATATTCATTGTAACGTAAGTATTGATGGTGGATTTAATTTCAAACTCATCTTCTCAACTAATAGTGCGTAAGCTTGCGTTGTTACATGTTTTAACAATGGGACTATTATGTGGAGTGCAGCTGACAGGGATACGTTCTAACATTTCAACAAATCGTCACTTGCGGTTTCGTCTTATACATGTTTGCCCGTGTTTGAGATTCATCGCTTTCATTGGGGACGGTGTAAGTTGCCGTGCAGAGTTGCAACCCCGTTTTGCGCCAGGATCCGCTTCCAGTTGGTTCGAATTCATGAATCACACAAATGTTTATCCTTGCTCTTTTAGCACCATACCATGGTACGTTGGTTTTACCAATGTGGTTCGTCGCTATATGGCTGAAATAATGCCGATACGACGCTAAATTTTAACTCACTCACTCATGTGGTCAACTCACTCACTCAGATACTACACTAATTAAACAGTGGACAAAACATTTTCACCTGTTAAACTGGGTTTGTCGTGACATCTAAATAGTTTCTGTTCATCAGGCTGTCAACGGCGAGTAAAGAAATGTATCATGTTGTTCAAATGAGCGAATTGTTAATAACATCCATACGAAGCGCACTATAAATGAGGGCTTGACACGTGTTATACGCATTGTTGAGCTCAGCACGTCGGGGTAGATGATGATGTCACAATTTATTACTACTGCTGTGGGTCATATCACAGCAGTGATGTTGGGCATGAGAAATAGATGAAGTGAGGTCCATTACATGTGCTGTGTTCCCCCTGAAAATCGGGGTACGAATTGGTCTTCAGCAACACATGCTTGTAAGAGACGACTAACAAGATCAGGCTCGGTGAGTTGAGTGATGCATGTCATCGTATTCCGATTAAATCAATATCCATGTCAGTCACTGGATTGTCTGGTCCAGGCTCGATTATTCACAGACCGCCGTCAAATAGCTGGAATATTGTGTTAAACAACAAACAAAACTATATGCCGTGTGGATTGGTTTTCACCCACTAATGTTGAACAGTATTGATATTAAGCTCGTGTCAGAATTCATGATGCGCTCTTGGAATCGCTCAGGAATTACAAAAATTCACACTCTGGATTCGTAAAATTTGCATGACAGTACGAAACGCATGTGACACAGTCTATGTTTCATGTATTATTCACACCGTTCAACATAAGCGGATGAAAAGGAAACCACACGAAACATTTTTAATACCAATTCACGGCTGTGTAAGGGTCAACTAGAAACAAATGTAATGCAGGCAATTGATTGGAAATGTAGACATCACTTAGACACGGTTGTAGACGTATAGCTGGAATATTGCTGAGTGCGGCGTTAAACAACAAACCTACCGTTGTAGACGTTATGTGTATTTACGTTCGAAGACTGATGGCGTCTCTGTCTATCTTTTGGACGTCATTTGAACATATGTCGGACACGGGTGGCCAACTTGTCTAAGGCGCCGCAGTTCGCCGTGCAGAGTTACGTCCCTTGGACACGCCAGAAGCCTATGATCGTGGGTTCAAATTCCGATTATGTTCCTAGATTAGTCAGCACCATACCCGTGCTCGTGGGTTTCACCAAAGTGGTAAACGTCTGAGACCAGCCTCACTTCGGGCTTTCCTCCCACATCAAGCCGAACTTGAATACTGTTAAAAGCGTCGTTAAACCAAACTCACTCACTGTCTTTCCATCACATCACGTACTATTGTCTTGGCCAAGGCAACCCGTAGCTCTAGCAAGGTCTATTGTTACTTGTAAATAAGGGAGTAAGGTTTAACTTTCACCTTTTGTCCAATATCAGTAAGCTTGAGTTTGGTATAACGCCGGTGCAAAAGTCTACAACACGGGGCGTCATCTTCCTGTAGGAGAAAAGCCGGAAGTGCTGCAGGTTGCAGGCAGTTTCCACTTTTGGAAAAACCACGAACGCGGATTCGAACCAGACAGGCCATGATACATAGTCAATTCAAATGTTGGATTCAAACTCACGGCAATACCTTAGCATGAATAAGACGCGCAACAACGAATTTCGGAACACTTTCATAGTAATATCCTGTAAGCTACGACCCCCGACTAACCGGGTCGGACTTTTAGGACACCCAATCGCCCGTATGTTAAAAGAGTCTGTCCATAGGATGCGATGAAAGTAGATGAGGTATCAGATTGTCAGACGATAGTACAGCTTCATCACGGCGGTAGAGTCTGGACCAAACAAACCAGGGTTAACGCTATGAGCAGAAAGCACCTGAACCTCATTTAAAAAGTCGAGGAATGTTCCACATTTACGACGTGGCTTAAAAATTGTACCTGGGTACCTGGTATTCAAAGCGTTCTCTTGTTCCAACATGGTTACAATGTGTGAAGATATTTGTGGTGTCAATCGTCCTGTTAAAAAGTATTAAAAGCGGCGTTAAACCATAAAAGCATCCAACAATTGAGAATACAACTGTAGCCAGTTCGTATTTTCACATTATGTGCTTTAAAATGAGCAATTTCATCCTGATTCGTTTACATTTGGATCCAATGATCTAGCGGTTTAACACAAGCAGAAATGACCTGTTGGCACAATGGACAAATCTCATTGAGGGTTGTCACTCTTGATATGATGTGGTTTGTGATGATAAACGGTGATATTACACATGTTCATATAAATAACATTTATACACATGTATTTGGTAAATCACGTACGTTACTTGAAAGGAATATCGATTCGCAGTTCGGAAGGAAAATAGACATTTTGTTTTGAGAGTATGAAAACTGTTTGTACAACCATACAGAATGCACACCCATCCGACGTGAGGGAGGTCGTAGGGAAGACTACAGGACAAGGTGCTGGGAATCTTGTCGGGGTTGTATGCAGAGCGTTTGCGTACATAAATAATGGGCTTATAGTAACGGTGTCAGGGAACCATTACCAAGTGCTCCACTGTGTATGTATGGCCGTGAAGCTGACTCACTCCGACAACACAAGGCTGCAACAGGCACATCCCTGACCTCAGCACACGTCATCGATGACGACATTAGCATAATACATACCACAAAGTACATATATTACACCATTATTAAAAACAATACCTTTATGTCCATGTTTGTAGACAGTTGGTTCACCAATATGAAGTTTTGCTTTTCAACATTTACCAGAAAGACTTTACTTAATAGGCGACCTAAGTCTCTTGCAGCAGTAGAATCACAGCGGTTATGTACAGGAACTATCTGTGTTTTGCAGATAATGGGGTCTTGTATTCCCACCATTATGTCGACATGTGAAATAAAGTAGACTGTTTGATATATTCTGTCTGAAAGTTTTTTGTAGCGAGTAGGCGAGGTGATAGCACCGCTGCAGGAATCCGTTCTGTTTCACATCGACGGAGACAGACGGCTGCCCTGACGGGTTGAGTCACACTGAAAACATTTGTATGCACTAATTATGTCCACGGGAACAAATATGTATTAATGCTTGTAAGAATCAGGAATACATAATGTTATTTGTTTGTGTGGAATGGAGTGTTGTGAGTATACAGGATAGTAGGGGAGATTTTCTGACTCTTCATTCAACTGCAGCTGCACACTAGCGGCGTGTTGGATGCATGTATGCACTGTGGCCGTCCCGCGCCGGTCAGCGATTCTGTGCAACGCTACACGTTGTGTTTTCTCTCCGGTGTGTTTTCTCTGCGGTGTGATCTTCGGGTGATGTTCACAAAACTAAATAGAATTCTTCACAAAAGTATACGAACCTTGATCCGCGGTACTTGGAACTACTTCAGGGGAAAACAGGTGGCCCAGTCACTAAGGCTTCAACTGAAAAGGGTTACGTGGCATAGATACCAGCTCAGCTAATCGCGAGTTCGAATCCCAAATAAGCATGGGTTATGCTTCTTGGTTTTTAAACATAATACTCGGGGGTCCTATTTCTAAATATAAACCTCTTTCACCTGTTTCTCCAAGCTGGGATCCTTTTCTTTGGAAAAGCTGACACGCCGTGATCTTACTAAAAGGTGTTGCATCCTATCTTAGCATGATTGTCAACAACACAACCGAGACACAAACATTTACAAACCGTACCGAACTGTGAAGACGAACCCGGTACCAGAGCCACGTTTAAGCTGATACCACCCCCTCACACCGCCTCTATATTATACCACCCGTGAAGATCCGGGTTAGAATAGGTCTTCTGCAATGCTTGTCATAAAAGGCGACTAAGGGGATCGGGTGGTCAGGCTCGCTGACTTGGTTGATGTATGTCATCGTTTCCCAATTGGATCAATCCTCATGATGTCAATCACTGGATTTTCTGGTCCAGACTCGATTACTTACAGACCGCCGTCATATAGCTGGAATATTGCTGAGTGCGGCGTTAAACAAACAATTTGTTTATCAAGATGCGTCAGATTAATCCCGAAAAATGAATTACACAGTCCCATATGAATCTTTTTTATTGCGAAACTGTTTTTTTTCGAAAGCTATATTAGCCCCTTTCAGTCTGAGAGGCAATATTAAATACTGCCATCACCTACATGTGACATACTGCCATCACCTACATGTGACATACTGCCATCACCTACATGTGACATACTGCCATCACCTACATGTGTCCCACACGTCGGTTTGACACCATCGCGTCATTTGGTCTGAGGCACCCGGATATCCGACGCGGTGCCTCTTTTTTCTCCGACCGTCACATTGACAACCTGTGATCTGGTGCAATAAACAGTGTCAATTCACATATGGTTGTACAACTGCAATACACCAATACACGTATGTGTAAACAATTTCGCATTAAAAAATTCCCGCGTCACAACAAACAGATACCCCGGAAAAATCAGCCTTGCTTGACAACGGTATAAGGATCTATACCGAAACGCCGCCTTTACAGTAAGTAAAAAAACTGTTATCCAAAAATTGTGACTACTTTGTCATCAACTTCTAAGTAATGCCGATCAAACAATCCATCTGGTTTGGACAACGTGTAAGTATCGTTATGCTTTACACGTATTTGTAGGTACGTTCGCCATTAATAAGCATATCGGTAGTCTCTTCTGATTTATAATCGTCATACTGTTTGATTTCGGACATACATTTAAATCAACAGACTGAAACATTAGATCTCTATCACATCATCATCAAACGTGCAAACAGTTGATTATCAGCCGTACTCGTAAGTTTCACAGACGTTGTAAACGTCTAAGACCTGCATCACTTCGGGCTTTCCTCCCACATTAAGCTGTCACGCCGTGATATAACTGGGATGCTGCGGCGTTAAACCCAACCAAAGAATATGTAGTTATGTATATATTGTATATACGTCTTTGACCCAACTAACTCACTCATAGCTAATCAATATCTTGAGTTCTACAAGGAACCTAAAAAACAGTATTTTGCTGATAAACGAGGAGGGATATATATCTCTGAGAGCGTATTCCAATAGAATGTGTGGTGACAGACTACGATTGTTTCAGCCGAAAAGCGTCGTTAGAGGGAAAGTAACAGAAATGTCTGCTCCACTTCCGGCAAGATTCGGAGCGGAAATGTTCCATAACCGTAACAGAGATATGACGTATCGTTGGTCCTATTGTCATGGTAACGTAATCAACATGCACGTGGAATTTCTTTAGTAGTATCACGATACTGTTTGGTCATCGGATGTTATGTCCTGTGATGGCTGCCAATTAACAGGAAGAATATGATTGTGAAATACGTCATCAAATGTTGTGCACTGCAGGAGGTGGTCCTGCAGCTTTTCAATAAGTCCCATTTTCTCGTGACGTAGATTTTCACGCAGTCTCTCCAAAGTTACTTTGTCTTCCTCCAAACTCGATATTTTCTGCGAAGATAGATAAATATATACATTTATTTATTTGTTAAATTAGTTTAGTTTTATTCAGTTACAAGTTGATCATATATTTACCTCCTGTAATTGATGCCCCTTGTCCCTCTCCTTGGCCCGGAAGCGCCTAGCCGCGCGCTTGTTCTGCTGACGTCTCACACATCGTTTTTCAACGTCATCGGGGGTCAGCTTAAAACAGATAAAAGGTCAAGCTGAAAACTGTTGTTTTTACATGACATGAATACAAGTCACATGACGTGCGGTGAAAATGGATTTAACGCCGCATTCAAGATCGTTTCACTCATATAGAGACGTGCATGTACATGCGAGGCTGTTGTACTAATCCTGGGGGCCGTTGTACAAAACAACCCTAGCGCTACGACTGTCGTAAGTCTATGTTAAAGTATGGGAGTTTCGATCACCTTATCGCTCAGATCGCATTGTCCAACGGCACCCTGATTAATATTGGTTGTGTAGTGCTAACGCACTGACGTTTTTTAACGTTCGCAGCCGAGCATCGAACTCCGACTTCCGATCTCCCGGCAGGGTAACAATCTTATAATGTCTATTGGACTGACGCGGCCAAGGTTCGAACCCCGGACTTTCCGTTCTCTCGGCAGACGATCTATATCCACTACACCACGGAGGCGACCAAAAGGGATGTGACTGAATTAAACAACTAACTGAACGAAACATAATTGCCGAGATTTAGTCCAGTAGTCGTACCTATAGACATTGTGTGTAATAAACTCAACTCAATTAATATTTGCAGTCTCGGTATATTCAGATTTGCAATTATATTCACCACTACATTAGATAACGAGCCAAATTATTTCCTGATATTGAAGGTCACATATCTACCAATCAGCTGCTTGGTCTATATTAAACATCAGTCAGCATTGCCATCATTTCATCACTCTCCACGCGCCGACGTATGCGGATCACGTGACCACTACTACCCCAAGCATGCACATTTTCTACTATGGGGTTTACAAGGCTACACATTAAAAACGGAAAGTATAAAAATATTTGATCGAATTACACGAGTCCTGTGTTCTCAGCGGAGCAAGACTCTTAAGTAGCATTATTTCGGAAAATGTATTTTAAGTTACTCGTTCTTATTTAAGGTCAAGAAATTTAAGAGAGTTCTAGATGCTTCTGTCCCAGTTGTAATAAAAAGTGCTGACGGGGTTTGATCGACACATGATTAGACAGCGTTGTAAAACTACGAAATAGCCTAAAATAGAATTGTATGAAAATGACCTCACATGACATCGTTCCCTGACCTGATGATCTCATTTCATCCGACGATAGATACAACGAGCCAGCCACCAGCCTTTTAACAACGCATTGTTTTATACGAGAGAAAGTCTGCCTACCTTCGATGTGACGGGAGGTGTCGAGAGCAGCGTTAATTCCCCCCGTCCCTCTGACAGACGCCTTGACTGAATCTTACACCACAACTCCTCCTTAATGAGAGGGATAAGAGAGCCACTCTGAATTGCTTCCCTTGCCGCGCTGACCACCCGTTTGTCCAGTCTCCGCGTCCCTGTCCGTCTTAGCACCTGGCGAGTCGGACCAGCTGATTGCAAAGATTCCATTTTGAGTAACGCGCTGTTGTGATACCTAACAAATATGCATACCCAAACGCTATTTGTGTACTACTCTCGAACCGAAGTGTTGGGTGAGGGGATTCCCCGAACGTGGGCAGGTAGCAGGTTTTGTCGACAGAACTTGTCGGTGACGATACCGCTGTATGTATACACGAACAAACTGGGCTCCGTGGCCATTTCCACGCTTAGAACGTTGCCAGTGTGAGCAATCGTGTCAATATGGTATAACGGTATAGTTAGGCGAACTGGGTTGCAAGAGGAATAGATATCCACGTTTTAGATTCAGGCCGATATACACAGACAATAGCCTTGCTTCTATCGTTAAAAAACCAAACCAAATCTCTTGCACTTTGTAGAAATATATATCAATGAATTAGTAACCATGTAGATAATTTTCAGAGATTATTTTTTTCCAGTAAGTGTGATACTATCGGCATTTTTTCTTTCCCACTGGAAGGATTTAAGGAATACCGCGCATGTTCTGCGTTACTTCCTGTTGTGATGGGCGTGGCCACTGCAGTGCCGTGTTGGGAGACCAAAACGTAAATAAACACAAGGGCGTCTAAATATGGTATTAATTTACATACTGGTCTTGCGGGTATAAATCGATGCGTCTGTCTGGCGGTGTAGTGCAGTTGTTGCCATCAAGGTCGTTGCTCTCATTCCTCAGCTCGGCGGTGATCTCGGGTTCAATATCGACGCGTTCAGGCCCACCCGACAGCGCGTGCCGCTCACGCGCCGGCTAATGACCCTGTGGAATTGAGAGCCGGGAGGCGTTGAGGCGACGCGCTCAAATATTCATGTCATTCGCACTTGTGTACCACGGCGAACGTAAAAAAGTTATATTTGAGAGATGGGAATAGGTTGTGAATTAATGTTTGATTTGTTAAGTTGGTTCTACGTGGCCCTTGCGATGTGTTTGTAATTGAATGAAATGAACTGCGCTGTGGAGAAAGGTGTTAAATCAGGCGTGGAGATTACTGTACAAGGTTTATCGTATTACAGGAGCGGTGGATTTGAACCTGACGTAATTATTTCAGTTTCCATTGTGTCCTGTCTTCCTGATTGACGGAGCTCCACAACCTGGAACGCATCTACACAAAAGATTTGTTTATCATGGAAACACGTCAATATTTTGTGCCCAGGTCGTTGAACATAAGATAACCAGCTGATATTTTTGTGATCAGAACACCGCCATGTGTTGGACAGTTTGTGACCATGCGTGCACATCCTTGAACTACAGCAACAGCAGCAACTTTCAACGCACTAAACCACGTATTATAGCACGCACTACACCTTGCACTATTATAACATGCACTATACCTCGCACTATTATGACATGCACTATACTACTTATTATAGCACGCACTACACCTCGCACTATTGTAACCTGCACTACACCACGTATTATAGCACGCACTACACCTCGCACTATTATAGCCCGCACTATACCTCGCACTATTATGACAGGCACTACACCACATATTATAGCACGCACTACACCTCGCACTATTATAACATGCACTATACTACTTATTATAGCACGCACTACACCTCGCACTATTATAACATGCACTACACCACGTATTATAGCACGCACTACACCTCGCACTATTATAACATGCACTATACTACGTATTATAGCCCGCACTACACCTCGCACTATTAAAGCACGCACTGCACCTCGCACTATTATAGCACACACAACATCTCGCACTATACCACGTATTATAGCACGCACTACACCTCGCATTATTATAGCACGCACTACATAACATGCATAGATTTTGCAATCATATTTGCTCTGTATAAAACGTGAACGAAGAAGGCGTTTAAGTGCCTAACACACACTGTGCGACAGCAATCTGAACAAAATACAAGGAAAGCGAACGTGCACAATGGCGACCGCAGATCACACCTAACCAACACACACGTACGCGAAATCAACTACTGTACGATCACATGCCCCCAATGTGTATATGACCACGCAATAATTGATATGATCATAACTAATAAACATCATTACCCACTCTCAATCATTGTGTTTGCATGGTTGGTCACATGCCTAATTATATATGGTTAAACACACCGTTAAGATAACGTGCCTTAAAGTGTTTACAATATATATATATATATATATATATATATACTATATACTTTATTATTATCACAAACGTTATTGTACTTATACGCATATACATATGTATGTTTTCACTAAGGACAGGGGCGGTCGGGTAGCCTAGTGGTTAAAGCGTTCGCTCGTCACGCAGAAGACCCGGGTTCGATTCCCGACATGGGTACAATGTGTGAAGCCCATTTCTGGTGTCCCCCGCCGTGATATTGCTGGAATATTGCTAAAAGCGGCGTAAAACCATACTCACTCACTCACTCACTGAGGACACCTGTAATCACACACTTTTCCTAGGACTTGGAAAATATGCACCAAACATTGCAATAAATGGGGAAGTAGGTTGAATCCCGCCATATATCAGATCATGGACAACAGTCTCAAGGCACTGGGCCAGACGTGTCAACACTCCAAACAGAAGAATAACTAAGAAGATATTTGTGTGGGCAAGCAACTGCAGGAGGAGCTGGAATGGAAAAGTGACGTCATGTCTAGAGAGAATCGACCTGGGACATTTAAGGAGCATAAATACCCAAATTGAAACAAAGTTATTTGTTGCAACGGTGCAAGAACACCTTATGTTGGAATATAAGACTAAATGGAGGGACAACTTATTGTTGGAGAAAGGACACCGTGGTAGAAACAAACAAAGAAGCTACAGGTTGTTTAAGAAAGTCTATAGCACAGAAAAATACGTGGATACCCTCTCAATCGTGCTCACAGGAGCTCCCTAGCTAAATTCAGATGTGGAGTGGCGCCTTTAAAGATAGAGACTGGACGTTACACAAACATACCACCAGAAGAGAGATGTTGCTTTAATTGCACAGACCAGGTGGACGAGATCCAGGTTTTACTTATCTGCCCTTTATACGACGACGTGAGGGCTGATCTTCTGAATCGCTGTTGTCTAAAATTTACTAATTTATAAATTACTCTTACAGTGAAAAGTTGACATAGATTTTATCAAACGTTGATTATATTTCTTGCGTGGCCAAAACCTGCCATAACATTTTAGCAGAGCGACTTTCCACTTTATATCATTGATGTTTATATGTATATATCTTATCGCTGTGTATGACTGTATATTTGTAATGGCATGGTGTCTCTCGTTAGTCGTCTAGCGACTGGTTGTAGAATTTTATGTGTATACTTCTTTTGATGCATTATAAGTGTATTCAACGAGTGAGACAAAAATATACTTGTCTGTCTGTCTGTCTGTCTGTCTGTCTGTCTGTCTGTCACTCTAAAATATATAACACTCACTAATATATAATTTAAAGCAAAACACGGAAGAAGGTATTCAGGTTGTGGTTTGCTTTAAATTTTAAACCCATTTGACTGTACACTCGAATTGGAAGTACTATATATATGCACACTTATGATTAAACACACCAACACATATGGTAACACAAACGACAATATATATGAAAGCACACTAACATACGATAACGCATTCGTTTGTTAAGACAAATACATACAGCGACACATTAATGCATATGACACATACTTTTTATGATCATACGCTGCCTTGTGATCTTTAGAAATCACCCAGACTAAAATGTACGATCATACATCAAAATATATGACGTCACACTATGTATCAGATTACGACATAAAAATCAGGTCACGAGATGACCTTCATCGTCTCGCCCTGAATACCATAGTGTCACTGAGCTAGAACGAAAGTAGTTCCGGCATAAAATGCTTCTTCACTCCAGTGAAATATCGATTACACGTTTGGAGATAAACAATAGTACATCATGACTAATAAAATAATAAATATGCAAAATGCTTATACATATGACTACTCACACGTACATTAATTATGGATCTGATCATTTCGGACGCACACAAACGTGTCCAACACATTCATGGTATAATTCCAAACGCACACACACACACACATACATGGTATAATTACACACACACACACACACACACACACACACACACACCACACACCACACAGACCTATGTATATCACATACAAACCGCCACGTATCCGCGCGTGCACTTAATGACCCCACGGCAGCAGTGGCAGACGTCGCAAGTGGTAATTACAGTCTAACGTCTGCTCCCCCAGGTGTCTGGCGGGAAACTCGGCCCCGTCGTCTGCTTCACGGAATGACTAAATGTGCTGCTGGAGAGATAAGCAGAACCCAAACTTTGAACTCAAGTGATAAAAACTATTTTTCCGCCATTGTGCAAGAGATCATATTTAAGTATGTCTAGTGTCTGATCCCAATGAGGGATACGTACATACATTATATGATAGTTAAACGAGGGTATTTCTGAACTTGGAATGTCATTTGGAATGTGTCTGTTTATTCATTTCAAAGTATTGGCAGGGCATGAACGTCTAAATTAAGACAGGCTATGGCAGGATCAGGAAAGAATACACTTCATGTCGCCCTTCCTCCTGCATATTATGTTATAGAGCCGTTCCACAAAACGCTACGACTGTCCTAAGTCAGTGTTAGAGAATGGGAGTAGACTAACAACCAGTCTCCGAAATGAACAGGTTTTACAGAATATGAACAATTGTTAAATTATCTTCATAAAATACAATAAAAAGGAGCCCAGGGACTTCATTTTCAGACTGATACTGCAGTAATCTAGACTTGCCCACTAGTATAGACTTGCATGGGCTGTATTGGAGTAATTTGTTTCATGGTCTCTTTGACAGACTAGAATGGGAACTGCGATCGACATGGCCTAAGATCGCTTTGTGGAACGGGGCCAAGGTCAGATAAACGTCTGTAGTCTATTATGGCAATAAAGACAGTGTGGCGTGAAGGTATCTGTTCTAATCACACCTGCAGATGTAGTCTTTAAACACCTCCTGGAACATCCTGCTGTGCTCGGCTCCTCTATGTAACCACCAGTTTTACCGAGATGTCATTTTTTTCATAGTGGCCATTACCTTTTGATTTACGTGCGATATATTGCCCAAGACATTATTGTATGTCAAGAGTGCAAAACCACGCGTTTCTACTGAAGAAACGCCAG